GTAATCAGTATCACTGAACAAACTGTACAGAAATTGTTAAACAGGAACCTAATTTGCTGTGTAAAATTTTACCGAAAATACAATAAAACATTATTTAAAAAAAGAACACAATAAATATACTTGACCCACCACCTAACCTAAGACATTAAACATTACAATGTAAATAAATAAGTAAATAATCCACGATGAGATATCACTTCACCCTCACCAGGATGGTTATTATAGAGAAAAAAAACGGAAAACAGCAAGCGTTGGCAAGCACAGCAAGTGGAGAAACTGGAATCCTCATCCACTGCTGGTGGGGCTGTAAAATGGTGCAGCTGCTACGTAAAACAGTTTGGTGGTACCTTAAAAACTTAAAACACAGAGCTATCTTATGACCCAGCAATTCCACCCCTAGGTATATACCCAAAAGAATTAAGAGCAAGGATGTAAACAAATACTTGTACACCAATGTTCACTGCAGCACTATTCACAATAGTCAAAAGGTAAAAGCAACCCAAGTGTCCATCAATAGATGAACAGATGAGTAAAATGTTGTATATCCATATAATGGAATATTACTCAGTCATAAAGAGAAATGAAGTCCTGATAAATACTATAACAGGGATGAACCCTGAAAACATTATGCTGAGTGAGATAAATCAGATAAAAAAGGACAAATATTGTACAATCCCACTTACATTAAATATTCAGAATAGGCCAATGCATAGAGATCAAAGATCATTAGCGGTTACCTGGAACACGCAGGAGGCAGGAAGAAAGGTATTTCTTAAGCAGTACAGTGTTTTTGTTAAGGGTGATTAAATATTTGTAAATGGATAGTGATGACTGTTGACAACATGGTAAATGTGGTTAATGTCACTGAACTGTACACATAAAAACGGCTGAAATGTTCTGTTACATATATTTCACCATGATAAAAATTAAAAATTAAAAAAAAAGAAAAGAATAAAGGTAGCAAAGAAAAAAAGGTTTTATAGACATATCCCAGTCCGGGACAACAGCTACAGTTCATAAATACCATTTACTTAAGTAGCCACCAAAAACCATCAGTCTTATTCCTTAGGATCAAGTAAACAGCAAGGAGTCAAAGGACTCAGGTTATTCTGTGGACCTTAATCATAGAAGTTCCTCACAGCTATATCACTGATTCCCTTCCTAACTAATCTGACCCTTATTCAAGTCTATGCATTATGTCACCTTGTTTTCTTCTTTGCCTGTGTCATGTGACAAAAAATTATGAAAAGTTAGATTTTCTTTGTTAATAATATTAAATACAAACTTAAGTAAATATATTTCACAATCTGCTGCTCATTGCCATGAACATAAAATGCCAATGTGGCTAAATGGCTACAACTGGTACAGGCAATCTTCATCATTTCTATGGTTAAACCAAGTCATCAACAAAAATCTGTTAATTATATCTTTTCCTTGGAATGAAGGCTGCTTTAAATCAGTGGAATCTGGAATAGAATGGCTTTTTCACGAACTCTGGGGAACGGGAATAACACACTTCAAGTCTTCGGGAAAAAAATAATACAAATAGGACGTCTGATAATAGAAGAACCTTTGAAATACATTAACATACTGTAATTTAAGAACTAGAAAAGACCTCAGAGCTCTAATTCAACCTCTTCATGTAACAGACTGGGAAAAATAGCCAGAGAATATGCCCAAAACCAAATTATCCACAAAATGGAGCACAGGAATGAAATAAAACCTCAGGACAGAATTATGAGAAAATGCATACTATAAGAAGGAATATGCCTAACTACCGAGTCTAGTTTACAGGAGGATAACAGTGCTCTGCCCCTTTACTTGCCTTGGCATCACAGTAATTGCAAAGATCTATACACTATGTCGCTATGAGTCAGAATCAACTCGACAGCAGTGGGTTTTTGATATATTATGTCTATGTCAGATACACTTCAGCTGAATAAACTATGGCTGTTCCAATGAACAATAAATATTATTTACCATTTCCCAGAAAGGCTCCTACTTAAACTTAAGGGGAAAATAATCAGTAGAAAAGGTATCAGAGAAATTTTTCACAATAAAAACAAAAATTTTTTAAAAACTGTCCAAACTATGACTAAAAATCCAGAAAGAGGGAAAAGACTAATACATCTAAGTACATAAAAATTAACTTTTGCATGGAAAAAATGCCATAAACAAAAGTAAAAGACAAATGAAAACAATACCTGAAATCATTATTACACATAAAGGGTTAATTACCCAAATATATAAAGAGCTTATAAAAAATTGAGGGAAAAAAAATCTATTAAAAAAATGGTTACAAAATATGAACAAGCAGATCACAGAAAAAGAAAACACCTTAAACTAAAGATGCTCAATGTTGTTCATAGTAAGAGAGATAGAAACTGCAACTACTCTGAGATACCCTTTCTTCTGTATTAGATTAACCAAAAGTTAAAAGTTTAGTATTATACTCTGATGACAAGGCTATGGGAAACAGGCAATGACATAATTTGTGGGTAGGAATGCAAAATGGTACAAGTACTATAGAGGAGGATTCAGCAATACCTAAAAACCTGTTGCTGTCGAGTCAATTCCAACTCATAGTAACCCTATAGGACAGAGTAGAACTGCCCCATAGGGTTTCCAAGGCTGTAATCTTTACAGAAGCAGCCACATCTTTCTCCTGTGGAGCTGCTGGTGGGTTCTAATCGATGACCTTTAGGTTAGCACCCTAGTGCTTAATCACTGCATCGCCAGGGCTCCTTTGGCAATACCTAACAACTAACATGCATTTACTGTTTGATCCAACAATGCTACTTCTGGGAATATATCCCAAAGATACCTTGGCAAAAATACAAAATGATATATGTACAAGGATATTCACAGCAGCACTATATGTAACAGCAGGAAACAACACAAATGTCTATTAACAAAGGACTAGTTGAATATTCAGCTACCAATGGAGTACTGTGAAGCTGTAAAGAAGGATAACAATCTCTATGTACTAATGAAAACCCAATGGCTCACAATGGTCCTACGCACAACCGACCACGGCAATGTGTTATGTACTGAATTATGTCCCCCAAAAATGTGTGTCAACTTGCTCAGGCCATGAAAAATCGTTGTCCTCCATTTTGTGATCTGATGTAATTTTCCTATGTGTTGTAAATCCTACTTCTATGGTGTTAATGAGGCAAGACACCATCTACAGGATTAGGCTCTATCTTGAGTCAATCTCTCCTGAGATATAAAAGAGAGAAGTGAGCAGAAAGGAGGGAGACCTCATTACCACCAAGCCAGAAGAGCCAGGAGCAGAGCACGTCCCTCGGGCTCAGGGCTCCTGAGCTGAGAAGCTCCTAGACCAGGGGAAGATTGATGACAAGGACCTACCCCCAGAGCAAACACAGAAGAAAGCCTTCTCCTGGAGCTGACACCCTAATTTGTACTTCTAGCCTCCTATATTGTGAGAGAATAAATGTATGTTTGTTAAAGCCATCCACTTGTGGTATTTCTGTTATAGCAGCACCAGACAACTAAGACAGGATGGCACAAGACCCAGAAGCATTTCATTCTGCTGTACATGGGGTCGATATGAGTCAGGGACTGACTCAGTGGCAGTTAAAGACATGATAACAGGACATATATTACCGGTGGCAAAAATAAGATGCAAAACAGTATATGCACATACCACCTTTTATATATATCTGCTTCTAGGTGCATTTGTTTTTATGAAAGATAAACCCAAAACTGGTAAAAATGATTACTCACAAGGAAGGAAAACAAGTAGGGTGGAGGAAACAGGGATGAAAGCTAACTTCTCTGGATGTACCTTATTTTACAGGCACTTGTCTTATAGGAAGGTCCCCGAGTGGCACAAACAGGATGCATGTGACTACTAGCCTAAAGGTTGGTGGTTCAAACCCACCCAGTGGCACCACAGAAGAAAAGTCTTGCAATCTGCTTTCATGAAAATTACAGTCAAGAAAACCCTATGGAATAGTTCTATTCTGTAACACAGGGGGTTGCCATAAGCTGGAATTGATGAGATGGTAAATAGTTTTTTTTTTGTTTTTTGTTTTTGGTTTGCTTTATAGGAACTACATTAATGTTTTACATATAACAAACAAATCAAAATTAAAAAAAGCAATACAGCAAGATTGGAAACAAAATTAAATAAATGCATCAACTACATATCAAGTTGGCAGCCTACTTTATAAATTATTGCATATGCCTTGAAAACAAAATAATTTTACTGTACATATCCCTAGTGGGGTAAAAACTAAGGATAAAAAAAGAACCGCAAAGAAATCCTAAACACTATTTAGGAATTATATTAATAATGTTAGTATTCTTAATTTGAAACCATTATATAGATACAGGATTAGGCAAAAAGAATTAATGACATTAAAACCAAAAAACCAAACCCGTTGCTGTTGAGTCGATTCCAACTCATAGCGACCCTATAGAACAGAGTAGAACTGCCCCATAGTTTCCCAGGAACGCCTGGTGGATTCGAACTGCTGACCTTTTGGTTAGCAGCCGTAGCTCTTTGGCACTACACCACCAGGGTTTCCATTAATGAATTAGGAACCAAGATTTCAGCAAGAGAAAAAAATACAAATATAAAATCAAACACATAAATAAAAAAAAAAAACCTATAAAATTATACTTAAATTGGAAATGTCATCGTGAACTCTGTACGTTTCTCTTTTAGCTCTGGCCACTGTAAATCGTAGAACCGATGACCAACTAAAAGGAACCAGGGCTCCCTGGAGTCCAGAAATGTATAAATGACCAGGAATATGTTTTACTAGAAAGCAAGGAAATTATCAGACTACTGGAGTCATGTCAAAAAGAACAAGAGCCAACTTAAAGGGACTCCCGCTAGGTAAAGATAGCACAATTTGACTATCAAAGACAACAATGATTGCAACAGGACGAAACAGTTAAAAATACATTCAAATCTATAAGTATATGATAAAAAACAAAAGAAAAAAAGCAAAAACCTGCATGGTTACCTTTGGAGGTTGCTAGGGCACCGACTCATTACTGTAGACTGAAAATAGAAGGAAAGAAGTGAGCATTTATCTTGCCTTTCCAGTACAAACTGTATTTTGGGGTAATCAAATAGCTGATCAGGGAAAATTATGCTTCATAAAAGATTTCCAGCTAATAAATACAGAAGTAATGAAAGAATTGCAAAATCACCATTTTGCAACCCCTAATGCAATAATAGGATCAAGCAGTGGTTCATTCTATTGTATGTAGGGTTGCTATGAGTCAGAACGACTCAATGGCACCTGACAACAACAGCGCAATAATAAGGAGATCTACTGGCACAATGGTTAAAATGCTCGGCTACTAACCGAAAGGTCTGCAGTTTGAACCCACCAGCTGCTTCCTGGGAGAAAAATGTGGCAGTCTGCTTCTGTAAAAATTACTGCCTTGGAAACCCCAAGAGGCCATTCTACTCTGTCCTATAGGGTCACTGTGAGTCAGAATCGACTTGACAGTAAAGGGTAATGCAATAATGGATATAGGAAATCTAAACCCACAAAAGGATTTTACCAATAGATGAAAGGCTCATGGGGAACTTTTATGATGGATGGACTGGGCTGACAACACCTGAACCCACTGTTCAATCACACATAACACCACAAAAAGAGACCACTCAGACATTATCTGCCTCCCTAACATAACGCAATAGCAAGCACACCGCAGCACCTATGAAATATTCTTGCCCTACTCAACCAAAAAAAAAAAAATCAAGGTCAAATATGATCAAGCTGTTCAGTAGAACTTTATGCAATTATGGAAATCATGGGCTACTGGGCACTTAAAATGTGGCTAATGCAATTAATGAAATAAAGTTTTAATTAATTTAAATTTAAATATCCACAGCTGGCTGGTAGGTAGCATACTGGACAGTGCAATTCTAGATCTAATTTTTAGAGGAAATAAACAGTGGTACAAGTTAAAGGATACCATGTAGATGCAATCAGCTAAATCTAGACAGCAATGAAAAAAGGGGAAAGAGAAAAGGGAACTGCTTAGATTACAAGACACTTAAAAAGGTGTATCAACCAAATGTAACATGTGGTGGATCTTTACAAGACTTTCATCCACACAAGCAAACTGTAAAGACATTTTTGGGATAGTTGGTGAAATCTGAACCCTGCCTAGATACTAACATTATGAAATTTTTATTAATTTTTGTAGGTGTGATCATAGTATTGTGGCTTTTAAAACTGAAAAAAGAAACCTTTGTTCTTGGAGGGAAAAACCCTTAAGCAACATAAAAATCAGAAATTCAATTCCTGAGATCTTCTGTCAGTATCGGCTTTGGCAGAACAACACAACATTGAAAAGTACGATCTAATGAGCGAGCGGACTACTGATGATCATTGCATCCACCACTACACCATAAACAATCACGGGAAGGACTAAGTAAAGGGCTTCTACTTCTTAACCAGAAGAAACTGGCATCAGCACAATTAACATACATAATTATTACAAATAATTTTTTAAATCTATCTACAGAATTTTAAAGGGCAGTGTCAGTCTGAATGTTTATAAATCGCTAACCCATTTTTTAGCCTTTTTAAAAATTATACCTATCTCGGACAATGACACAGTCAAAACGCAAGCAGCAAGCAGGTTTGAGAAACAAATGGAATGTATAACAATAATTTTTTCAACCTTTTTGAATTCAGGATAAAAATTAATCTAAAGATAGGACTGTCTTCCAAATAAGAAAAGACAAACTTTTTATTATATCATGAAGATACAACCTGTTAAGCGTATGGAACCTCTGGGTGGTGCAAAGGTTAATGTGCTGGCTTGCTAACCAAAAGTTTGAAGGTTCAAGTCAATCCATAGGCACCACAGAAGAAAGGCCTGGCAATCTGGTTCTGAAAAATCAGCCATTGAAAACCCTGTGGAGAACAGTTCTACTCTGACACACACAGGGTCGCCATGGGTTGGGGTCAATTGGATACCTGTTTTTTGGGGTTTTTTTTTTGGTGTAAGTATAAATGTAAATATTTGAAAATAAAGTGTAGTCGAGGATCCTTATTATGATTTCCTCTTCATTTCTGGAGCCCTAGTGGCACAGTGGTTTAGAGCTCAGCTGCTAACCAAAAGGTCATAAGTTTGAATCCACCAGCTGCTCCTTGGGAACTGTGGGGCAGCTCTACTCCGTCCTATAGGGTCCCTGTGAGTTGTGATCCACTCCACGGCAAGGGGTTATTTTTTTCTTCGTATCTATGAAACAAAACTAAATGCAAGCATAAGCATTTGCGAGAAGCTGTACAAATACAGAAATCTACAATATTGCTTTATTAAAGGAATAAAGTAAATTTCTTTGAAAATCAGTTTAGGGAATCAGATGCAAAAAGTAGTGCTCAGGGAAAACTACTTTGTGCAAGTGTACTGTACTGTTAACTATAAATGAAGACTAGTCTCTGACAGCCTTATCTTTACTCTCCTGTTGTTATAGGGATATAAGAAAAACCCCATCACGAACCTAGATTTACCGTCTTTAAGTATTTTCATGATTAAAGTGTTTCTAAGGAATCACCATCTTAAACCTACTCTTAAGTAGTTCCCAGTCCTGACTTGTATGCATGGTGCAAGCAGCTCAGGGTTCCCCAACTTCAGTCCTTCACGGTTTTTGCCACATCCTCGTACTTCCTGTACTAAATATTAACATTTTTAAACCAATTCGCTTTTCAAAAATTGTTAAACTTAATACACAACCATAGATTAGCCTGTATCACCTGCAATTAATTAAGTAGCAACAATGCTAGACAATTCTAACCAGATCCAGCAGCAGGGACAGATTACCCAACAAACAAGGCACACACGGGCTTACTTGCATTTATTAATCTGCAGTGCACAATTTCACATGGCCACACTGATGTGGTGAAAAACACAGGCCATGTGAAATTGTGCACTACAGATTAGTAAACACAAGCCCGTGCGTGCGTTGCTTATTGACTAATGTGCCCCTGTCCAGCAGCCTACGGAAGGGGTTGTGCTGAGGGTCCAGACTTGTAAGAAGGATACTGCCCGCAGGCTTTGCCAGGGAAGAGTGAACTGGGAACTGCTCCCCAGCCCACCGACCCCCGAAGGACCCCTTCCCGCTGCCGGATTCGGGAAGGCCTAATCACCTGGTGAGCCCGGACAGCGCGCTGGATGGACCTGCGTCCGCCTTCACGGGATGGCAAGGAGCACGCAGCGTAGCCGAGGGGAGGGGCGCGAGAGCGGGCCTGTGCCGGCGGAGGCAGGCTTGGCGGCTTGCCGGCGGCGGCGGGGACCAGCCCCGGGCCGTGCGGCCGCGCGGCTAGCGGCATCACCACAGCCAGGTCGCCCTCCGGACGAGCCCACCCCTCACCCAGTGCTCCACGCGCAGAGGCAGTTACCAGGATACCACAAGCGCGCCCCCGAGCCTTCCCGCCGTTACCTCGCGCCGGGGACGCGCACGCGCGTCACCGCCAGCCTTACGTTCAGCCTGTCGTTAGCACGTTCGTTCCTCCCACTGCCCGCTCATTATTCATCGAAACAACGTCCTCTCAAGACCTCCCCTCTGCGCACGCAAATGGACTCACCCACATCCACGAATCTACGCGAAGAGCGTACGGGTGACGTGATGCGGAGAGTGTGGCTCGGCGGAAGAGAGAGCTGCGGTGGGCCGGGTGCTGGTAAGAAATTCCCGCGCTCCTAACCTAGGTCCTGGAGGGATGAGAAGGCCTTCGTTCTTTACGCTGGACTCCCTCCCTATCCCCCATTGGTTGAAGTCGGTAACCTTACTTTGCTTCCTGGGAGTCAACACCTGTACCACACGCCTTGTGCGGTGGAAAGGAGCATTCGCGGCGGTCGAGAATCCCCCCCTCCCCGCTTTCACATTTGGTATATCCAGCCTCAGGCCGGAAGCCGCAGCTGTGGGGCGGCAACGCACACAACCGTATAGATGGTGGTGGCCTGCGAGGGTCATTTCTTGCGAAGGAAAGGTTATTCTGCTTGCGTCTGTAAATTCACGTTTACAGAGCTATGAAGTACAGAGATGGGTAAAACGTGTCCCTGTTTCAGGGAACGCGCATCGCGTTTCTGGGAAGACAAGTATAACAGGCACTTAGTGTGACAAGCTGTAATTGGGACCGTTCATTGCGCCCAGAGACGATAGGACCCATGGGGGGGCTGGGGACCGCGCTCTCCTGGAGGCTGAAAGAAGACCTCCCTCAGGAGGCGCCCCGGGAGCTGAGTTTTTTAAACGAGAATTAGCCGAAATAAGAGGAAAGAGCATCCCAGGCATTGGGACTGACACATGTGTAGACAAAAAGGTGTGGGAGAGAAAAGTTTGTTTAGGAAATTGCAAGTGCCTTCGGTCGAGCGTGGTGAGTGCTCGGGACAGTGGCCGTGTCTTAAAACCAAAAACAAACCCACTGCTTCCAGTCCGTTCCGACTCACAGCGACCCTATAGTACAGAGTAGAACTGCCCCATAGAGTTTCTAAGGCTGTAATCTTTAGGAAGCAGACTGCCACATCTTTCTCCCTAAGCAGCTGGTGGGTTCAAACCGCTGATCTTTCTGTTAGAAGCCGAGCGTTTTAACCACTGCGCTACTAGGGCTCCTTCGGCTGTGTCGTAGACATGCATATATTGATGCTTTCCACTCCCGCAGTCCGTTAAGGGTGAAGCCACCTAACTCCGGGATTGGGAATGGGATGTTGATCCCTGAGCTGAGTTTGGAAGGAAAAGTGGGCGTTAATGGTAGGGAAAGAGAGGTTTTAAGTGCAAAGGCTGGGAAGTGTGACAGGATTGAAGGTGTTTGGAAGAGAGGCAGGTGAAAAGAGATTGAAACCAAATTGGAGAAAGGCATGCTAAGGAGTCATTAATACAAAATTGAGACATAACAATTGGAGATAATAATACCTAATCAGTGGGTCACAGTGCTGACCTAACTTGTTTAGTGGATCATAATGACAAAAAGCAACAACAGAAAATTTTCTGAAACTCGAGTGATTTCAGAAAATTTTACAAAAGGTGGAATCTCTGTGGGCCCGGAAAAATCTGCAGGTTTCAATCAGTGGAGAAAAGTGACGTGGGCATGGGGGAGGGGAGCAGAGCAGAGAGGACAAAGGGAGTGGTAGCAGGAAAAAGGAGAGCCCTTGGAGAACAGCAACTCCACAGGTATAACTGGAACTGAAGGTGAAAACTCCTTGTATGTAAATTTCCTAAACACAAGATCCTTCAACTTGATTTACAATATCCACTGGGTAGTATAGTACAGTAATTCTTAGGTGAAATACTAAGATCTTCCTCAACTGGTTCACTGGTGACAGAAGTAGCTGGGCACCTTTTGCTTCACAGTTTTGCCTGGATCCTTACAGGAGTAAAAAACTTCCCCCACCCCAACCTGTGTAATTATTGCCCCAGTGTTAGAGCTATTGTGCAGTTATACTATTTGGACCAAGTACAGGCCTGTATGAAGGAATTGGATTCTACCCCCAAAGATGGTTCCTGTATGAGTCTCTGTTGTCTCAGAAACTGAGAGTGACTGGAGTGCCTTTGGTGCCAGTGGCCTCCAGGCCTTCAGGATGGCGCCTTTGTAGCAGGGAGCACAGTAAAGTGGTTCCCATGATGAGACGGGTCTTAAACTTGGAGATTGGGAACCCAGAGGTACCCACCAAGCTACCCATCCCTTTGGATTAGATTGCAACTGTTCCAGGAGGAAACATGAGGAATCAAATATGCTAAAGGAGCTAAGTATCTTGACCACTTGAGCCAGATTATTAAAGGGGGAGCAGCAGTAGGAATCCAGGGAAGGAACCCCAAGTGGAAGCAGAAACTGGGGGGCAGCGTGGGGTCCTGCCACTGTTATTCACTTCTCAGAGTTCACTCAGGGTTCTATTTTAAGAAAGGAGGTAGCTAAACCGCTGACTTCTTTATTGCCTTGAGGATTTGTGTCAGATCTGCTGTTGGTCACTATGTGTAACTCAGTTCAGTTTTTCACTTAACTCTTGTACCTTAAAAATGCCAAGGCACCAGAGGGCTGTGGGGACCATGGTCTGGGGGAACATCTAGCTCAATTGGCATAACAGTTTATAAAGACAATGTTCTATATTGTACCTTGGTGAGTAGCGTCTGAGGTCTTAAAAGCCTGTGAGCAGCGATCTAAGATACTCCACTGCTGTCACCCCTTCGGGAGCAAGAGACAATGAAGAGAACAGGATACAAGGAAAAGATTAGTCCAAAGGACTAATGGACCACAGCTACCAAGGCCTCCACCAGACTGAGTCCAGTACAGCTAGATGGTGCCTGGCTACCGCCACTGACTGCTCTGACTGGGATCACAACAGAGGGTCCTGGTCAGAGCTGGAGAAGGATGTAGAACAAAATTCTAACACACAAAAAAAGACCAGATTTACTGGCCTGACAGAGACTGGAGAAACCCTGAGAGTACGGCCCCCGGACACCCTTTTAGCCCAGTGGTGAAGTCACTCCTGAGGTTCACCGTTCAGCCGGGGATTGAACAGCCCCATAAAACAAAACGGGACTAATGAGCACAGAAGTCCAGGGACAAGGACTAGAAGGCAGGAGGGGACAGGAAAGCTGGTGATAGGGAACCCAAGGTTGAGAAAGGGCAGTGTTGACATGTCGTGGGGTTGTTAACCATTGTCATAGGGCAATATGTGTACTGTTTAATGAGAAACTATTCTGTAAACCTTCATCTAAAGTAAAAAAAAAAAAAAGAATTATCCATGTGGAAAAAAAAAATACCAAGGCAGGCAGAGACTTTTGTAAATGTAGTGCAGGAAATGTGTGAGGGGCTGGAGACAGGACTTAGCAGGCGGTTACGAGTCAGGAGCTCATCAAAGGCCTCACAATCAAGGAAAAGCAGGGCTTCGAATTGGTTCAGTTGTGGCCTAGGAGGCGAAACCAGAACAGACCCGAATTTTTTAAATTTGGGTGACCCAGAACCATAATCAGAACAGGAAAAATTACAGGTCAAAGCCCTCCTAGAAACTTAATCCCCCTCTTAAAAAACAAGGGCAGCTATTGGTTGCATACCAACCAAATCTCTTGCCCTTCGGATTTGGACAGAGTAAGAAACAGCGGTGTCCAGCTCAGAGATCGTGGCTGACTGCACCGCTTTGAATGTGTGTCGCTCTCCTCATTCCTGGCAATAATCCATTCTCACGCATCAGGCTCCTGAAAGGGCCCACTATGCCTCTTCCGAGTCTCCCATTCCAGGGCTTCGACCTATAATTTTTCCCATTCCCAGTTATGGTTCCAGAGCACCCAAATTTAAAAAATTTGTGTCTCTTCCAGTGACACTTCTTTGGCCATGACTGAACTGGAAGAACTGGTTCAAAGCTCTGGGGAAAAGTGAATGGGCAGCTAGGAGGGAAAAGCTGCATTTTAGGTGTACTGTGGTCTCATGAGTTGGAATTGACTCAGTGGCAACAGGTGGCTTCCTGAATAAGGCTCTCACATATGTTGCCCTCCTTTCACGCTCTATGGAATTGGTCTCCCTGCCACACCCCCCACCCCCAACCTGTGCTATATCTGTCCGGTATACACTTTTAAAGCATCCCTCAGCTGGGGGTATGCTGAGTCTTATAAGTAAGTTGTCACCTGACCCAGATGATGTTATACCAGAAAACAAAAAGCCTGGGGAATCTTAGTGCTGGATTATACTGGATTACCCCATCTCCTGAGCCTTCACATTTAAGAAATAATCTATTTGGCTTACAGATCTGACAAGATCAAAGCAGCTGGAGAATGGACAGTGAGGTACAGAGAGATGGAAGGATCTTGGATTTGATTGATGATGCTTGGCGAGAAGATAAGCTGCCCTATGAGGATGTTGCAATACCTCTGGTAGGTTATGAATTGTGCTGAGCATGAAGGGTGAAGGGTATGATCTGGAGGGCCCTGCTTGAGGCAAGATATTTATGGATAGATAAGCTAGTAGGGCAAAGAAATCAAACCTGTGAAATTCTCTAGCTTCAGAAGGCTTTAGAGAGCATCTAGTCTGACTTTTTCTTTGAAGAGAAATGTGGCTTAGAGAGGTGAAGTGACCAGCTCAGTCAGGTACCATGTTAGGACTGGAACCCAGGTTCTGACCTGTGCTCAGTCCACTACACCAAAGCCAGAGGTAAGCCAAATAATGAGAGTTTAATGGGTAAGATGGGGAAGAATAAGCAGCAGTATCACATCTGAAGGCATATAAGCTGTGTTTCTCACTTCCGCCTGTGGTTTACCAGTCTCTTGCCATTATTAGGAACTCACATCCTTGGTACATGCACCTATTCTAGCTTCTCTGGAAAATGTTCAACAGATAACCTGGCTTCTCTTCTACGTTTAGACCAACAGGCTCCTAAAACACTCTTTTCTTCCCTGGTCTCTGGAAAACCCCCTTTGCAGGTTGGCTGGAGGCTGGGTGATCTAGGATGGCCTCACATGTCTGGCTGTTAGCAGGTTGTTGGCTGGGGTGATGGGGTGACTAGGCCATGTGTCTCCTTATCCAGCGGCCAGCCTAGACTTCACATGGCTGTCTCATGTCTCAAGAGCAGCAAGAAAGGAAATTGCCAGACCTCAAGAGACAGGCTCAGAACTGGCACAGTGGCACTGCAGCTGCAGTCTGTTGGCCAAAGCAAGCCACACAGCCAGTCCAAAGTCAAGACTGGGGAATAGATTCCGCTTTTTGATAGGAGGAGCTACACAGAATTGTGGCCATTTTAAACATTGGATGACTGTTTATAATACTTCTGTTTTTGTTTTTCAGGAATATATGCAATTTTATATGTTGGCATTCACTGCAAAATAAATTGTGCCAATTGAAAGACATGTTATTTTAGAAGACTCAAACCACAGATAGGATGTAATTAAGCAAAGCTGTCTTCCTCTGAATTAAATAATTCATTAACCAAGGACCTGTTTATGCTTTATAAGCTATAAGTACAATATTGAAACCAAAATTTTCTTTTTTTAAGTTTGAGTTTATTATTGCTTTACGATAAATGATAGTTCTTTTCAATTTGTACACGTGTTTGAATCTCAGTCTTAAATTTGTAAAGCAAGACGTGATTCAAATACATTTGTACAGTTTATGAGTAAACATTTTATATATATTAAACATTATTTTAAAGGGTAAAAATATTATACTAATGTACTGCAAATTGGAATCCAGTGGGAAATCATAAGTTTGGATATTCAGTAATAGTCTGCTAACTCTAAAAAATGTCTAAATTCGGGTAACTGAAAAGAAGTATATTGGTATCACTGAGACGATGGTACAAAGCAGAGTTCTGGTAGCAATAAATTTAATTTTAAAATATAAGTAAACTATCCTAGATTCTACTTTCAGTTGATTGTGTGGCCCATGGCTTGCCATTTTAAGCGAATTGTTGGTGAGATGTGGTGATTTGCCGTGTCTTATGTTGCCCTGCTCCACCACTAGGGGGAGTCTCAGCTGTTAACTATATATTTTTAGTAATCCTTACTTCCTTTATTATATGGGCATGTTGGCTCTGAGGGGTTGATTATCTTGGCCAGAGTTACACAGCAAATGATGGAGTCGGCATGGATCCCGTTTGGCTTCCAAAAGCCTATGCCCTTAATTCTTCTGCCATCCTGCCTCCTGTTAAAAATGTCATAACGTCCATCGTTCCCTACTGTAAAAGGGCCAGGCCGCATTAGAGCAATACTTCTGATGTTCTCCTCACATCTGTTTATTCTAGCTCTTTCTTTGGAATATACTTCTATCAATTATGCTTCCTGTTCCTAGGAACTCACAGGTGTTACTTCTAAGTGCTCTTGAGTTTTAAGAGGTTTGTTAATGCAAAACATGTTATTGATCTGAATGTCCACTATACCTTTTCAGAATGAACTTCCCGAACCTGAACAAGACAATGGTGGCACCACAGAGTCTGTTAAAGAACAAGAAATGAAGTGGACAGACTTAGCCTTACAATACCTCCATGAGAATGTTCCCCCCATTGGAAACTGACACCCAGCTCCTTCTTCATGGACAATTTTTTTTTTTTTTAATACCTAGGTACAAAAATTTTTTTTTAAGTTTTCTAACTCAAATCTTTTAGCAATAAATCAGCACTCAAAAATGTATACCCCTTAGTTTGTTGCAGCAAAGTACAATGTGAAAATATTCACCAGGATGAGAAACTGAGATTTCTCAAGAATGTAGACTATTTGGCTCTTTGAGAATAAAGCTCTTCATTCACCAGCTTGTGTTTGAACATAATTGTTAAACATTTTCCCTTAACTCTGATTTTATCTTCCTGTCAGAGTTTAACACTTCTGATTACTTACATGTACCCTGTGATGCAAGGTGATTAAAGATACGAGCGGGAAAGGCAAAGAGAAAGGAAGCCAGACATACAAATCATTAACTTCTCATGTAACCCCACTTTGAGAAGCATTCTGAGTGGATGCGGTGGATATGTCCTTAGCCTGTGGATGTTATGGATATATAGGTATCCCATTCACTGATTACTGTGATCCCTAAGGCTCCCCATAGGTTTTCAAACTGTGGATAAATTTACAGATTAAATAGCTGTCTGATCCTCTGCTCTCCCTACAGTTTCCTTTGTGCCACTGGAAAAGATCTTTGGCTAGTTGGACCACTAGTTTTATCCAGTAACGGCATTTCTTATTTTCTCAAAGCCCATTCAAATATAACCAAAACACTGTGGAATCAGTACTTAGTTACATATTTGTGTAAGAACTTGCACCTTGAAAAACAGATTCATGTACATTATCTCCTGGAGTCATTTGTCTCTGTTAAATGGTGTCTTTCTTGTTCCCTGTGCAGATTGTAAACTGTGGGTAGTTGTTTGTTAGGTGCCGTCGAGTCGGTTCCGACTCACAGCGACCCTGTGCACCACAGAACAAAACACTGCCCAGTCCTGCGCCCTGCTCACAGTCATTATCTTTGAGCCCATTGTTGCAGCCACTGTGTCAGTCCATCTCCTTGAGGGTCTTCCTCTCTTTTACTGATCCTCTACATTTCTGAGGGAAGGGACCCTAGTTGATACTTCTATATCCCTCACTGAAAACACTGAATAATTGGAGATCTGTCTTCCTCCCCATCCTTTTATACTGGCGCTATTGTTTCCCTAGCTTTTAGGAGGAAGAGGTACATCATAAAACAAAGGAGCTGACTTTAGGGTTTTGACCAGAAACGTGGTTGTAGCAGCTGCTCTGTAATGCAGACACAGCTGGACTCGTCTCCTCCGTATGCATCAGTGTCCTGCCTGGAAGTCACTCATCTTGAGAACAAAGACCCCCAAGGCACCAGTCTCTTCAATAGCTGAGGAAAGGAGAATTAAGATGTTTGAAAAAAATTTTCATACCAAGAGAGAAAACAAAAATAGCTTTTCAAAAAATTAAAGTGCCTAGAATGTCACAGTTATTCCACACTCCAGTGAAACAGATTTTACTACAGCTTATTTGTGGTATGTAATATCTAAGGCACTAACATTTAAGAATTTAGTGGATGGTCACGTGAATCCAGCCTTGTATGTGGGCCAGGCTTTTCCCTGGAACATTGGTAAACTAGTAAAATATGAAAAGAGCCCTGGTGACACAGTGGTTAAGTACTCGGCTGCTAACTGAAAGGTCGATGATGGTTCAAAACCACCAGCTACTCCACGGGAAAAAAAACGTGGCAGTCGGCTTCTGTAAAGATTACAGCCTTGGAAACCCTATGAGGCAGTTCTACTCTGTACTATGGGGTCACTATGAATCAATAGCAACAGGTTTTGATTTTTGGTAAAATATGGAAGTTGTCTTTGTTCAGTTGAATCAGAGTATGATGCCTGTAAGACAGCTGTAGGCCAAGTTGGTGACCTGTAAAGATTTAAAAACCCAGTGCTGTGAAGTCAATATCAGCTCATAGTGGCCACATAGGACAGAGTAGAACTGCCCCATAGGGTTTCCATGGCTGTAATCTTTACGGAATTAGACTGCCACATCTTTCTCCCACAGAGTGGCTGGTGGGTTCAAACTGCCAACCTTGCAGTTAGCAGCTGAGTGCTTAGCCACTGCACCGTCAGGGCTCCTCCGTTACAGCCTTGGAAACTCAAGGGGGGCAGTTCTGCCTTGTCCTATAGGGTCACTATGAGTTGGAATCAACTTGACAGCAGCTGGTTTAGCAATCGGTCAGTCATTGCCTGTGTCCCTCCAGCCATCCCCCAGGGAGGACATAACCTTCCAGGTATTTCTAGGAAAGGCAACTCTCCAGAAAATGGTGTAACAATGAACCCTAGACAGTCAACACACAGTGGCTGGGGAATGGGTACACAGACGAGGTAAAGGGGATTTGAGCACCAACAGTGGCTACTGCAGGATACAGGAGTTTACCACTGGGAGGACCTGATTTACGTTGGGTAATCAAGGAAACCTTGTAACAAGGAGATTTTATAGCAGATAATTTGGAGCCCTGGTGGTGGAGTGGTTAAGAGCTTGGCTACTAACCGAAAGGTCAGCAGTTCAAATCCACCAGCTGGTCTTTGGGAACCCTATGGGGCAGTTCTACTCTGACCTATAGGGTCACTATGAGTTGGAATTGATTCAACAGCAATGGGTTTTTGGGTTTATAGCAGATAATTTAAAATATTTTGTTTCTGAATTTTTCCCACTCCCTTTCCAAGGGGGTGACCGGGCTCTTGTGCTTCCTGTGCACAGCAGAAAGCAGACGTGCCCAGCAACAACCCTGCTCCTTTAGGACACAATGTGAGGTGTCAAGCAAGCGAGGGAAAGAGAAGAGGGTGCTAAAGCTAGGAGCTTGTGGGAGTAGTGGGAAGCTGTGCCCCACTCTGGTGGTAGTCCAGTGAGATAACCGCAGAGGGTTATGGTTTATGGGGTGTTTTGAAGAAGACCTGAGCCTCAGCACCAAGTCTTCCAGCAGAGGCAAAGACCCCCAAGCACTGGAGCCACCTCCTTCAAGGGCTCTTCAGACTTGGCAGTGAGGACAGCAGCAGGGGCCCAGACAGACTGAAGATTAGGGGTTTTTGCCCAATTTCCAGGTCATTCATGACCTTCCTAAATGCTTGTGAGACCCTAGAAGAGGGAAAGACACCCAGTGACCACAGATTTAATTTCCTTCCAATGTGGCAGAATGGGACCAAATAGATTTAATTTACTTTGAAGAAAATGTATTATTTCTTGTACACTCTTGATCTTGTGAGGCAACACCTGAAAGATGGGTAGGAGTAGCCAGGGGAAGGATAGGAGATGAGGGTTGCTTGCAGAGGGAGCAAATTGCATGTATCCTGGAGGTGGGACTGCCATTACAAGCAAGCTGGATGGGCAAGGCAGGGGTCATTTTAAGGATTTCACTCTAAGTCATTGAAAGGTTTAAAATGGGGGAGAGATGGCATGATCGGATTTTATTTTTTTAATATAAGTCACTGGAGTGTAGGTTTGAGCAGGATAAGACTAGAAATGGAAGACAATTTAGAAGACCTTTGTGTTAGCTTAAGTGAGAGATGATGGCTTAGACTAGCATGGGGGTGGGGGGGTGAAAGTAGGGAGAGTTGGGATATATCTAAAAAGTAGAATTATTCAGAATTGTCTGGTGAGGTGTATTTCATGACATCAGCATTCTGGATCATGATCATGTGGTTCTAAAGAGACTCCCAGCATCCCTAGGAGGTGCAAATGGTTAACGTGCTTGGCCGCTAACCAAAAGGTTGGAGGTACAAGTCCACCCAGAGATGTCTCAGAAGAAAAGCCCTGATAATTACTTCCAAAAAATCACCATTGAAAACTCTATGAAGCACAGTTCTGCTTTGACACACACACGGGGTCGCTGTAAGCTGGAATTGACTCTACGGCAACTGGAAAGAGACTCCGGTGCCCAGCGTGAGTACTGCCCTGGTGGCCCAGGGGTAAGTTTCTGGGCCAGACAGGACTAGAGATGCAGCATCTGTCCTCTAGAAACGGAATCTGGGTCCAGGAGCTGCCCATCCTTTGAACCCAACTTAGACTCACTTCTTAATAGTAACAATAACCGTGACAGCCATGATTAATTGAGCACTTCTATGTACTTCAGACACGTGATCTCTAACCCTTGCATCCACTTGTTAAGATGGATATTACTGATCTCATTAATCAAGAAGACAGTGACTTAAAATTTAACGACACTGTGCATCAAAGGACATTGTCAGGAAAGTGAAATGACAACCTACAGAATGGAAGAAAATATTTGGTAACCATATATCTGATAGGGTTTAATATCCAGGATATATAAAGAACTCGTATACCTCAACAACAAAAAGACAAACAACCCAATTAAAAAATGATCAAAGGCCTTGAGTAGATATCTCACCAATGAAAATAAACAAATGGCCAATAAGTACATGAAATGATGCTCAATGTCATCAGTCATTAGGGAAATGCAAATCAAAATCACAATGAAATACCACTTCACACCCACTAGGATGGTTATTTAAAAACAAAAACAAAATAACAAGTGTTGGTGAGAATGTGCAGAAATTGGACCCCTCACATATTACTGATAGGAATATAAAATGGTGTAGCTGCTGTGGAAAACAGTTTGCTGGTTCCTCAAAAACTTATAGAATTACCATATGACCCAGCAATTCCTCTCCAGGGTATATCAAAAGACTTGAAAGCAGGGACTCATACAGACACCAATGTTTACAGCAGCACCATTCCCAATAGCCAAAAGATGGAGACAACCAAAGTGTCCATCAACAGATGAACAGACAAGCAAAATGTGATATATATACAATAGAATATTATTTAGCCATAAAAAGGAATGAAGCTCTGATACGTGGTATGGCATGGATGAACCTTGAAAACATTATGTTAAGTAAAATAAGCCAGACACAAAAGAAAAAATATTGTATGATTCTACTAGTATGAAATATCCAGAATAAGTAAATGCGTAGAGACAAGTTTATTAGTCATTAACCAGGGGCTGGGGGAGAGGGAAATGGGGGATGTATTGCTTAATGGGCAGAATTTCTGTTTGGGGTGATGAGAAAGTTTTGGAAATAGATACTAGTGATGTTTGTACAACACAGTGAATGTAATTAATG